CGGACCAGTAGTTTTATTGCTAGCTTTCCCCAGTGGCCAGATAAGTTTCTGTGAATGAGTACAAAAAACGTTTTTCCATAAATGTTAAAGGCACGCTTTAAAATTAAATACCCATTGCATTTTGAAGTTATTTATTTATTTATTTATTTATTTATTTTTTAAAATATATTTTATTGATTTTTTACAGAGAGGAAGGGAGAGGGATAGAGAGTTAGAAACATCGATGGGAGAGAAACATCGATCAGCTGCCTCCTGCACATCCCCCACTGGGGACGTGCCCTCAACCCAGGTACATGCCCCCGACTGGAATCGAACCCGGGACCTCCCAGTCCGCAGGCCGACGCTCTATCCACTGAGCCAAACCGGCTTCGGCTTGAAGTTATTTATTACATGTTCTTACAAGCTGATATGTTTTTAAAGTATTCTCATGATTGGCCACATGCCTTAGAACAGAAACCACGAGAATTCTCGTGATCCATCTGCAATGTGTTAAAATATTTCTTCTAATTAATTTCCTTTCAATGTGCACAGATACGTACACCGGGCCACTAGTTTCCAGTAAGGTAGGGTACTTCTCATTCAGCTGAGTTTGGAATCAACATCTGTATTCTTTCTGGCTTATCCTCTCCAGAGAGTGTAATCCCAACTTCTGTGGGGCCAGGAAGAGCATGGGGAAGGGAGCAGGATCTGGGAGTGTTAGGTGCTTTCTCCAAAGACTTTCAACCATTTCTTTAGTTATCTCTCTCATCTCTTGCTTCTAATTTCTGAGCCTTTCAGTGATTCCACTGAGAGAATCTGCTTATTTCTGGATGGCCCCTGCCTCTTGGTGATGTCTTAGGGCAGAGAAAGCCCAAACCCAAGGCACTTCTTGTTTGTCTGTCTTCCTTCCAGTGTTTTTGACAACTCTTGTCTGTTGTTATATTATTTCTCATCATCTTTGTCCTGTAAATTTATAACTTTTAACTGCTTTTTGCTATACTTTTAGTGAGGCTTCATGAAGAAATAGAGGTAAAATGTATGGGTAAACACTAACTTAAAGAATTTGTTTGTTCTGTCATTTGAATGACATGTATACTGTGGGCCCTGTACTTTTCCTGCTGCTGGAGGTACAATAGTGCGCAAAGCAAGCATTCCTGCTCTTGGGGAGTTTCAGTGCTAGTCGTGAAGACAAACATTGATCAAGATAAGTACTGTACAGGCATAGTATGTCAGATGGTGGGACATGTTAAGGAGAAAACTTAAAAAGAGGCATGGGTAGCCCTAACTGGTTTGGCTCAGTGGATGAGCGTCGTCCTGCAGACTCAAGGGTCCCGGGTTCGATTCCGGTCAAGGGCATGTACCTTGGTTGCGGGCACATCCCCAGTAGGGAGTGTGCAGGAGGCAGCTGATCGATGTTTCTCTCTCAGCGATGTTTCTAGCTCTCTATCCCTCTCCCTTCCTCTCTGTAAAAAAATCAATAAAATATATATATATTTTAAAAAGAGGCATGGGTAGGAACCATTGTGTGGAGAATTGTAATATTTTGGTAGGTGGTGGTGGAAGGCTTCATTGAGGAGGAGCCATTTGAGTAAAGATCTTAAGAAATGAGAGACCCGCCCTGGCTGGTTGCTCAGTAGTGATAACATCAATCTGTACACACAAGGGCTGCTGGTTCGATTTCTGGTCAAGAACATGTACCTGGGTTGCAGGTTTGATCCCTGGCCCTGGTGGGGGAGCATTTGGGAGGCAATCAATGTATCTCTCTCACATTGATTTTTTTTTCTCTCTCTCTCCTCTCTCTTTCCTCCCTCCTTCTCTCTCTCCTTTCCTCTCTCTGAAAATCAGTGGAAAAAATATCCTTGGGTGAGGATTAGCAACAACAAAAAAAATTAAGAAATGCGGGACCTGATTGCACAGCTATTTAGGGGAAGAACATTATAGGTAGGAAGAGAAGCCAGAACAAAGACCCTAAAGCAGCTGTGTGCCCAGCACATTTGAAGAACATCAAGGAGGGCCAGCATGGTGGCATCACATTATAAGACCTGGCCTTTTATACTGAACTAGAGGCCCGGTGCACAAAAATTTGTGCACTGGAGCCGGGGGGGTGTCCCTCAGCCCGGCCTGTGCCCTCTCCAGGTCTGGGACCCCTCGGGAGATAATGACCTGCTGGCTTAGGCCTGCTCCCGGGTGGCAGAGGGCAGGCCCAATCCCTAGGTGCAGCCCCTGGTCGGGCTCAGAGCAGGGCCGATTGGGGAGTTGGGGCGCTGCCCCGTCATGCACAGAGCAGGGCGGATTGGGAGGTTCCGATGCCACCCTCAGTCACGCTCAGGGTAGGGCTGATTGGGGGGTTGGGGCACTGCCCCCTGTCACACTCAAGGCAGGGTCGATGGGGAGGTTGTGGCGCCACCCCCTGTCACGCACAGAGCAGGGCCAATCAGGGGGTTGGGGCTCCGTACCCTGTCACGCACAGAGCAAGGCCCATCAGGGGGTTGGGGAGCTCCCCCCGTCACGCACAGAGCAGGGCCGATCAGGGGGTTGAGGAGCTCTCCCCCGTCACTCACAGAGTAGGGCCGATAGGGGAGTTGGGGCACCGCCCCCTGTCATACACAGAGCAGGGCAGATCAGGGGGTTGGGGCGCTACCCTCTATCACCCACAGAGCAGGGCCCATCAGGGGGTTGGGGCGCCGCCACTGTCGCACTCAGGGCAGGGCCGATGGGGAGGTTATGGCTCTACCCCATCACACACAGAGCAGGGCCCGTGGGGTGGGGGTTGGGGCGCCACCTTCTATCATCCACAGAGCAGGGCCGATCAGGGGTTGGGACACCGCCACTCTCACATTCAGGGCAGGGCCGATGGGGAGGTTATGGCTCTACCCCGTCACACACAGAGCAGGGCCGATCAGGGGGTTGAGGCGCTGCCCCCTGTCACACACAGAGCAGGGCCGATCAGGGGGTTGGGGCGCCGCACCCTGTCACAGAGCTGCAGGGCAATCGGGGGGTTTGGGCACTGCCTCCTGTCACGCTGATCCCGGTGCCGGGAGGCCTCGCGGCTCTGCTGAGCCCGGTGCTGGGAGGCATATTACCCTTTTACTATATAGGATAGAGGCCTGGTGCACAGGTTGGGGCCGGCTGGTTTGCCCTGAAGGGTGTCCTGGATCAGGGTGGGGGTCCCCACTGGGGTGCCTGGCCAGCCGGGGTGAGGGGATGATGGCTGTTTGCAGCTGGTCACACACCCTTCAGGGTGGGGGTCCCCACTGGGGTGCCTGGCCAGCCTGGGTGAGGGGCTGAAGGGTGTTTTCAGGCTGGCGGGTGACAGAAGCTCCCAACTGCTCCTTTTTTTCTTTTTTATTCTGGGCCAGCTTTAGCTCTGGCTCCAGCTCTTAGGCCTCTGCTTCTGAAAGCAGGTATCTGGTTTGTTTCGGTTCTATAATTGAAACTCTGTATCAACTCCAGCTCTGAGATCCCCGCTTGGCTTGCTGAAAGCAGGTTTCTGGGGTTTTGTTTAGCTTCTATATTCGTTACAATGTTTCTTAAACTGCAGGCTCAGAGGCCTGCAAGGCAGGCGGGGAACGTTGGAGTCCTCCGTCACTGAAGCAAGCAAGCCTCATGTTAGTTTCAAGCTGCCTGGCTGCTGGCCGCCATCTTGGCTGGCAGTTAATTTGCATATCTCGCTGATTAGCCAATGGGAAGGGTAGCGGTCGTACGCCAATTACCATGTTTCTCTTTTATTAGATAGGATGTGGTTGATGGTTTTGAGCAGAGGCTGGGTGTGATCTAACTAACCTTATTGATAACAGAGCCATGGTGGCTGTTGTATGGAGAATGGTGATGAGGAGGGGCAGGCAGACCAATTAGGAAGTGATTGCAATATTCCAAGCTACGTGGAATTTGTGAGTGGTTGGATTCTGGGTTTGCTAATGAATTGGGATGTAAGACAGATCCAGGGTTATTTTAAGGTTCATGGCTCCTGTGGGCTTTGAAATTGTAGAACTTTGGTTTCATATAAGTAGGAGTCAGGTCTGTTAAATGAATACTTTGATAAAGAATAGCCACAGAAGGCTCCCTCCCTCCCAGGGTGTCTGTGCCTTTCCCTTTCCCCACTTCATCCCCCACACGCCTGCATCTCCTGAACTCTGAGGGACACCCCCCAAAAAAATTGCCACAGAAATACTTTAATTTTGCCGTACAAGCCATAACTCTTTTTCTTCTTTTTTTTTTAAGCTCTTCACAGAATATGGTCGTCTGGCAATGGATGAAATTTTCCAAAAACCCTTCCAGGTAGAATGTTCACTATAAATGCCATTCAAATCTTTATTTTAGTTTAGAGATCAGCAAATTGCAGCTCACAGGCCAGTTCTGGCCAGCTGCCTATTTTTATGTGACCTATGAGTTAGGAATGGTTTTTACATTTTTGAATGGTTGAAAGAAATCAAAAGAGGAATACTATTCTGTAACATGTAAATTACCTGAAATTTTAATGTCAGTGTCTATAAGGTTTTATTTAGAACACAGTTATACTTATTTGTATTGCTCATGGCTGTCTTGTGCTACAGTGGCCTAAAATATTTACTCTCTGGCCATTTACAGAAAAGGTTTACTGACCTTTGTTTTAGCTAATTATTTCATGAGGACGGGAATGCATAGTAACCTGAGTGAGATTAGAAGAGCATTAAGTATTATTTGTTTTCCTTTCCTTTCTAATGTGGAAAGCAGATCTGATGTATGACTAGCTAGTGGCATACTGTACTCCCCATCCTTGCCTTTGGCACACTTGTTTATAAGGTTTCAGAGACATCACAGAATAGCTCAATCCTTTAGCACGTTTTCTGGTCTCCTTTAAAGAAGCTGGCATTGTGCAAAGGAGTACTTAAATTGTAATTTTGAAAATGCATTTATGCAACATTATAATGTGTGCTGCTCTTTTCCTAAATAGACACTGATGTTTTTGGTTCGAGACTGGAGTTTCCCTTATGAATACAGCTATGGACTACAGGGAGGAATGTCATTTTTGGATAAGCGTCTACAGGTAAGTAGAAATATAATATGGGAATTACCTAAAAGCAGTGATAACTTTCCCATTTGCCTTAGCTATTGTATTTCAAGCAGATTACAGAAAATTATATTAAGTTTGTTAAATACTTATGCATGTTAACACACTAATATTATTCACGTTTTAAAGAACCTGGGTATACAGTGCACAGGTATTGTGGAGAAGAACTCTGGGCAAAAACCCCAGCTTTGATTGTAATTACATTTCACATTGTACGTCAGGTTCCACATGTGTCTTTAGAATGTCACATTCAGAACTTCAGTCTGTTTTTCTTGTTCAAAATTCTTATGTGTGTTTTTTTTTTTAAAAATATGTTTTTATTGATCTAAGAGAGGAAGGGAGAGGGAGAGAGAAGTAGAAACATCAGTGATGAGAGAGAATCATTGATAGGCTGCCTCCTGTACGCCCCACACTGGGGATCAAGCCCACAACCTGGCCATTTATTGCTTCTTAGGGTTCTGTGTTTTCTTATTGGAAATAACATAGGCCACTATGACCCATCAGAGTTGGGAAGTCTTCTTTCCTTTGTCTTACACCAGTAGTTCCTGTGAAGAGAAACAAATGGTCTTTGTAAATTGTGGATCTTCATTGGCAGGTGAAAGAACATCAGCATGAAGAAATTCAGAATGTCCGAAATCACATTCACTCATGCTTCTCGAGCGTCTCCTGTTTCCTTCTGCCACATCCAGGACTCCAGGTGGCCACAAGCCCTGAGTTTGATGGGAAATTGAAAGGTGTGTTACAAATGATGTTATTTTAAACATGTGATATGATCTTTGGAATTAAATAGTGACCAGAAAATGTCAATTAAGGATCTGGTGTTGCCTTAGCCCAGGGTGGGCAAACTTTTTGACTCGAGGGCCACAATGGCTTCTTAAACTGGACTGGAGGGCCGGAACAAAAGCATGGATGGAGTGTTTGTGTGAACTAATATAAATTCAAAGTAAACATTATTACATAAAAGGGTACGGTCTTTTTTTTCAATAGTTTTATTCATTTCAAACGGGCCGGATCCGGCCCGCGGGCTGTAGTTTGCCCACGGCTGCCCTAGCCTGTTTGGCTCACTGACTGAAGGGTCACAGGTTCAATTCTGGACAAGGGCACATGCCTGGGTTTCGGGCTCAATCTCCAAGGGGCGTAGGGGGGTGTACAGGAGGCAGCCAGTCAATGATTCTCTCTCATCATTGATGTTTCTATCTCTCTCCCTTTCCCTTCCTCTCTGAAATCAATACAAATATTAAAAAAGAAAGAAAGAATCTGGTGAATGCTTAAGAGAAGTAGTATGCTCTCTAAGAAAGATAGTATTTGGAGTCTGGGTCAGTTTTTGCTCTTGCCTTACTGTGACCATCAGAATTAGAATTAGCTCATCTTAATTTTGCCATCTGAAATGGTGTTGGCAATATCCATTAATGATCCTTCTAAGAGACATGTTATGATTATTGGTTTATAAAAGATGAAAATGCTAAGTAAAAGAAGACTAAACATTAGTCAGCTAATGTTTATCAAGTAAAATTAACTTCCCAAAGAAAGATAACACGATGTGTGGCGTGGCTATTGTTTTCATTTTATTTGTGATTATAAAAGAACCTGACGCTGAGTCATTTGTTAATATCAGGAAGTGCTGACTAAATAGTAGCTTAGAGAAATCAGAGTTGGGACTCATGGGTTCCATTATCTTATTTTTGTTCTTTGAGACCTTGAGTCATTTAATGGCTAGACATCAGTTTCCCCATGTGTTAAACTAAGCACTTTTGTTTATAAACTTATCTGAGCTTCTTAGGTTCTCAGTAAAGTAGAAATAATAGTAGTCGCCAATTTTAGATATCCAGTCACGTTCCCAACTGTCTTAGTCTGTTTGGGCTGCTATAACAAAATACCATAGACTCAGTAGCTTATGAACAACAGAAATTTATTTCCTGTCATTCTGGAGGCTGGAAGCCCAAGATTAGTGTGCCAGCATGGTGTGTAAAGGGTTATCTTCCTGGTCTCAGGTTGTATATTCATATGTTGGGAGGGGCTGGCGAGCTCTGGGGGATCTCTTTTATAAGGGCACTAATCGCATACATGAGGGCTCCACCCTCATGACCTCCTCACCTCTCAAAGGTCCCACCTCCTAATACCATCACCTTTAGGGGTTAGGATTTCAACATATGATTCCAACAAGGGGAGGGGGGACAAAATATTCAGACCATAGCACCAACACGATACTAGTTACTTTCGCACTTAACACATTGTATGCGGGAAACATGTTTACACGTTTTACGTATTTATACGTTCTACCAGTATAGTAGAGCGCGGGACACGTATTAATACGTTTTTTATAGACTAGCGGTAGGATGCGGGTAACATATAAATACGTAAACTAAAGTTATCGTAATTTTACTGAACGTTGTCATTTGCGCAAAAAATTAGCAAAAATGGCCCACGCCACCTGTTAGCGCGTGATAAAAACTACCCGCAAACAATGTGTTAATGCTTCCAGTAATTCCATGAAACTGATATTTTCCTTATTGTACAGATGAAGACACTGGTTTAGGAAAGTTAAGTAACTTGTTCAGTGTACACAGGTAAGTGGTGAGACAGAGATTCACATCCTGATTCTTCTTAACCCAAATCCATACTGTGCTGAAGCAGAAACGACTTCCGTTACGTGGGGAAGCAATTTAGGTGACATGTACTGCTTAGTTACCAAGAGAACTTGACTCATTCGATGCAAGAAAGTTAATGTACTTGCTTAAGATTTATGTTCCAGCCGATTGTAATGTTACAAAAGAAACTGAGTTTGAGAGACTTACCTTCACCTTCTATTCGCCACCTGTATGATGTTATGTAGTGGCAGCTTCCTGAGCAGACTTCCGGAGCCTTTAGATGGCATCTCAGAAGTCTGAGTTTGCCCTGACCGGTTTGCTCAGTGGCTAGAGCAGCCGTGGGCAAACTACGGCCCGTGGGCCGGATCCGGCCCGTTTGAAATGAATAAAACTAAAAAAAAAAAAGACCGTGCCCTTTTATGTAATGATGTTTACTTTGAATTTATTAGTTCACACAAACACTCCATCCATGCTTTTGTTCCGGCCCTCCGGTCCAGTTTAAGAACCCATTGTGGCCCTCGAGTCAAAAAGTTTGCCCACCCCTGGGCTAGAACGTTGGCCTGCGGACTGAAGGGTCCCAGGTTCGATTCCGGTCAAGGGCATGTACCTTGGCTGTGGGCACATCCCCAGTAGGAGGTGTGCAGGAGGCAACTGATCGGTGTTTCTCTCTCATCGATGTTTCTAACTCTCTATCCCTCTCCCTTCCTCTCTGTAAAAAATCAATAAAATATATTTAAAAAAAAAAAAAAAAAAGTCCGAGTTTGTGGCCTGGCTTTGGAGAGAAATCTGCTTAGGCGACACTGGAACTAGAATTTTTTTTTAACCAAAAAAAGCAGTCGTGATTGACTTTTCAGAGTTGAGTATGGAAAGAAAGTTGGGTGTGTAGGTGATGTGTCTTTAGGGTTATGACACTCCATTATTAGACACACTTTACCACGCCTAGACGCTGGTCCTGTTCCCCACCGGCAGGGGGGTTGTTCAGTGGGATTCTTTTATTATTGATTGACTGACTGGGTGATTTTGAGAGAGAGGAAGCAAGAGGGATAGAGAGAAACATCACTGTGAGAGCGAAACTTCAATGTGAGAAGGAAACATTGATTGGCTGCCTCTTGCATGCGCCCTATGGGGATTGAGCCTGAAACTGGGCCTGTACCCTGATTGGAATCAAACTTGGGACCCTTCAGTCTGCAGGCCAATGCTCCATCCACTGAGCCACACCGGCTAGGGCTTTATAGAGATTTTTATAGTGATATTTGTAATTTGGAAAAATTTCTAAACCACTTTTGTTTATTCACTGCTCTATCCCCAACTCTTGCAACCATGCTGGCCACAAAAAAGGTGCTCAAAAACTGTTGAATCAATAAATGAAATAAGAACACTTCAATTTTACAAATTAGGGTTATGGATTGTTGAAGAGTTCTTACCTTGATGTGATAACTATCAGTTGATAGTCTGAGCTAGCTGGAAACCCAGGAAGATGTTAGATGACGGAAATCAGATTCCCGTGTCTTCATAGTTGGACCACTAGTTCTCACCTTGAGGAAAGAGCTGTTTAATGGCTCTCCCGAGTCCTGTGTGGGCACTTTGTAGAAACTGCAGAGAAGCTGTCCCCTTTCTGAGAGAGGAGGCTTTCCCTCGGGTGGCCCGGAGCTCCTCTCTAAGGAGGCGCTAGAAATAACTAGCATGGAGTGCGGGTGCCTGTCCCCTTCACCGGGAAAATGAACGAAAACAAAGACGTGGGTCAATAGTGATTTCTAAAAAGCAAGGGGAGCACGAGGGTGCAGCCAGGGCCTGGTCTGAGGACTTGAGGGGTTGATAATTTTTTTTTTTTAAATATATTTTATTGATTTTTTACAGAGAGGAAGGGAGAGAGATAGAGAGTTAGAAACATCGATGAGAGAGAAACATCGATCAGCTGCCTCCTGCACATCTCCTACTGGGGATGTGCCCGCAACCCATGTACATGCCCTTGACTGGAATCGAACCTGGGACCTTTCAGTCCGCAGGCCGACGCTCTATCCACTGAGCCAAACCGGTTTCAGCAAGGGGTTGATAATTGATCTTTTGAAGACCTGGTTAATGAAACTCTTAAAAAAGTGAAATTTCTTGCCCTGGCCAGTTGCTCAGTGGTTAGGACATCGGCCCTCAGGTCAAAGAGGCTCGGGTTTGATTTCCAGTCAAGGACATGTATCTCGGTTGCAAACTTGATCCCAGGCTCAGGTTAGGGTGCATGTGGGAGGCAACCAGTCAGTGTGTCTCTCACATCAATGTTTCTCTCTCCCCTTCCTCCCTCCCTTCCACTCTCTCTTTAAAAAAATCAGTGGAAAAGTATCCTCTGGTGAGGATTTAAAAAAGTGAAATTTCTTGCCGAAACCAGTTTGGCTCAGTGGATAGAGCGTCGGCCTGCGGACTCAAGGGTCCCGGGTTCGATTCCGGTCAGGGGCATGTGCCTGGGTTGTGGGCACATCCCCAATAGGAGATGTGTAGGAGGCATCTGATCGATGTTTCTCTCTCATCAATGTTTCTGTCTCTCTCCCTTCCTCTCTGTAAAAAATCAATAAAATATATTTAAAAAAAATAAAAAAAAAATAAAAAAGTGAAATTTCTTGAAAGGCTAGGGAGTAGACCTGAACCTCCCAGAATGAAAACCAGGGTAAGGATATTCTGTATATTCTCTTCTCGATTAGGGAGGTCTTAATACTGCGGAAGGGAAGGGGACAACCAAGGCACATAAGAACAGACTGCTGTTCTGGTCAGAGCCGAAAACGTCAGACACCTGCCCTGGGACCCTGCCCTCCACTTTGACTGACATATGTTAAGACATTTAGACATTTGTTTTGTGCTTACCTTGGTTGAAGTCTGTTTGGCTTATTGTTTCCTTCTTCATGGTCCTGTGAACAGATATTGCCAGTGAATTCAAAGAGCAGTTACAGATACTGATTCCGTATATATTGAACCCAGCAAACTTAATGGAAAAGGAGATCAATGGCTCAAAAGTCACCTGTCGGGGGCTCTTGGAGTATTTTAAGGTAATTATGGGCTTTAATTATTAAAATGTTGGGCTTTTGGTAAAACTGGTCTAGGTTTAAACTAATTTGAATTTCGGTATTTTAAAGCTTAGGGAAAAGTTTCATGGGAGAAATGATGAGAGGCATTTTCAGACTTCAGTGTCCTTCCAGGAATGGGCCACTGGGTGGCAGTATCGGTCTAAGAACCAAATGGATGTTCTTTGCACTCTCTTAGAGTGATGACTGTGGCTAAAGGAAGATTGTTCCTCCAGGAAGATGGTGTGGACAGGAGGTGGTTAGGATGTTGCTGTGAGTGGGAGACGGCACCTAAATGTGACATGACTACCTCGAGGCGGATGGCCACTCTGCCCACAGGTAGTGGTGAGGCCAGTGTGCGTGGGGAGCCTGGCGGGAATCTTAGCCTTGGCAGGCTTCTGCTGCTTGAGACCATTTTCAGTGAACTAAAAATGCTAACGTGCACAAGGTGTGTTGTGTTTTTGCTAATTCCTGGGTGTTGATCTAGGTCTTTAGGAAAATTAAGTTGTTTGGTTACTGGTCCTACAATTACAAGTATGATTAATTATGACAGAATGACATTTTTGGTAATTATTTTTATGTTTATATTTTCAGGCATATATTAAAATTTACCAAGGAGAAGATCTGCCTCACCCCAAATCCATGCTTCAGGTACGCAGTTGTTGGACAGCCTAAGTGATAACTTCGATTTCGTGAGTTGATCCGGATCCAGCAAGCAGAGTCCTTTAAGAAGACGGTGCTGTTGCTCTCCTTTCCCATTATGCTGAGCTCTTAATTTCTAGCACATTCCAGCAGTGTGGTTGCCTTCTGGTTTTCTTATCTGTGTTCTTGGTGGTTCAGCTTAAACAGCACGGCCTCTCACTGGGCCTGGTCTTCCCACCAAACATGCTGTGACACCCCTGCCTGCTGTCCCCAGGGAGACATCCCCAGCTGTGTGGACAGGCCATTTTCCTGTTTCCTGCTGTCTGCTTTACTAGAGCATGTCCTAATGTGTCTACTTACTGACGAGTCAGCATTTAATTTCCAATGAGTTATATTTTCAACATTTTGCTATTTTCAAAGCCTTGTTTTGTTAAAACATGATTCTGATTTTCATGTACTGAACATAAGGCCATTTATTGCCAAATGTTTATTCCTTTAGTAGAAAAAATCTTTCCACTCAGGAATTTAGAGTTTGGGATTGACATTGTAAAGATAATTTGTCTCCCTTCTTTTTTTTTTAAATATATTTTTATTGATTTTTTACAGAGAGGAAGGGAGAGGGATAGAGAGTTAGAAACATTGATGAGAGAAACATCGATCAGCTGCCTCCTGCACACCCCCTACTGGGTATGTGCCCGCAATCAAGGTACATGCCCTTGACCAGAATCGAACCTGGGATCCTTCAGTCCGCAGGCTGATGCTCTATCCACTGAACCAAACCGGTTAGGGCTCTCCCTTCTTTTTTTAAAAAAATAAATATATTTTTATCGATTTCTGAGAGGAAGGGAGAGAGAGAGAGAGAGAGAGAGAGAGAGAGAGAGAGAGAGAGCTAGAGAGAGAGAAACATCAGTAATGAGAGAGAATCATGGATCGGCCACCTTCTGCACACGCCCTCCCTTATCCCCCCCACTAGGGATTGAGTCAGCAACCTGGGCATATGCCCTGACTAGGAATCAGACCATGACCTCCAGGTTCATAGGTCGACGCTCAACCACTGAACCACGCTGGCTGGGCTGTTTCCCTTCTTTTTTGACTTACATCTGTTTTTTAACATTTAAAATTAGAGCAAAGGGCCCTGGCTAGGTAGCTCAGTTAGTTAGAGCATCGTTCTGATACACCAAGGTTTAGGGTTCAATCTCCCATCAGGGCACATACAAGAATTAACCAGTGAATGCATAAATAAGTGGAACAACACATTGATGTTTTTCACACACCCTCTTCCTTTCTCTCTCTCTCAAATCAATAAGTAAAAATTGAAGCAAAGGAAATGATTTTGGAGAGGTTCAATTTATGATAAAGGTTCTTATGTGTGGGAACATTTTTGGCAGAAAAGATGTATTTTATTTAATAAACTGGGCTATATGGAAACCTAAAAAATAGCAGAAGCATAATAAGAAAGAAAGAATGGTGACTAAGGTGTGAGAAAAATTTTATGTGGTTATTTGTCGAAGAATATTAAAAGAGGAAGGACTTACAGCTTATGCTTTCCTTTCTTCAAGGCCACTGCTGAAGCCAACAATTTAGCAGCTGCAGCCTCTGCCAAGGACATTTATTACAACAACATGGAAGAGGTATGTTGGGCGTATGTCTTATTCTGAAATATCTATAACCTGGACATGGTGGCTGACTTTAAAAGCCCAAACTTGATCCTTTTTACTGTCTTAAGATACCGAGGGAACACAGCTGTACCCAGGCCACCTGGGAATGAGGGCCTGCTGTCAGCTTTCTAGCCAAGGCTCCTGCTGTGTCGCTGCTCTCACCGAGCACCATGGCCCCGGAGCTTAAGTGTTCTCTCGGAGGCAGCCACCTGAGCTCTGCTGGCCTTGGTCACCATTTACAGTTAATTTCTAATACCAAAATAGCCTAAGCTTTTCAGCGTTTTCACTTTATAAATTTTATTTGTCACTTGTTTTTAAAGGGATCTTCAACACATTGCGTCTGTTTCTTTATTTTTTAGGTGTGTGGGGGAGAGAAACCTTATTTGTCCCCAGACATTCTAGAGGAGAAGCACTGTGAATTCAGACAACTTGCTCTGGACCATTTTAAGAAGACCAAGAAGATGGGCGGGAAGGATTTCAGCCTTCGCTACCAGCAGGAGCTGGAGGAGGAAATCAAGGAACTCTATGAGAACTTCTGCAAGCACAACGGCAGCAAGAACATCTTCAGCACCTTCCGAACGCCCGCGGTGCTCTTCACGGGCATTGTGGCCTTGTACGTCGCCTCAGGCCTCACTGGCTTCGTTGGTCTGGAGGTTGTGGCCCAGCTGTTCAACTGTGTAGTTGGACTGCTGCTAATAGCGCTTCTCACTTGGGGGTACATCAGGTACTCTGGCCAGTATCGTGAGCTGGGCGGAGCCATCGATTCTGGAGCAGCATATGTACTAGAGCAGGTAAGTGCTGCCCGCTGGGAGTGGGAGGGTGGGCAATGGACAGATACTGTGTTTCTTTTATAAAGTAGCTCCACTTGGCAGAGCTTCCTCGTGAACGAAGGCATGAGAAAATTTCCTTGACTTTTTTTCTGATGAGCATTATATTTATTATCCTTTTTTAGGATATTAATGTTTAATTTTGATATTTTGTTTTCATGCCCAATGATTATCCTTCGATGCAGAAAGTTTTTCAGCTTAGACAATTGTGTTCCTTGCGGGAAACTTTTAACTATATGTTTGTCAGACCCAATTCCTGTGTGATTCTTTCCCTCATCCAAGATTAATTTGCTTTATTAAAAATCAAGAGCTTTGAAAAATATGAACTTAACAAATTTTTTTGTTTTAAATCTTATTAATGGATGGCATTTTTTCCCCTTAAAATCTTCCAAAAGCCAGTGGCTTTTGACATTGACATGATCTCTAGGTTTATAGATCCTCGAGACTCTGGTTTCTTTTTCTGAGTTGCTTGAACAGATCAGTTAAGTTAGAGGCTTGTGAAGGGAAACACATTATTTTTACAATGTCAATCCCAAACTCTAGCTTCCTGAGTGAAAATATTTTTTCTACTAAAGGAATAAGCATTTGGCAAGCCTCACAATTAATAACACAATAACGAAGCAAAGGGTCAGCTAACTCTCCTGGGAGGTAGCTGCTGTCACAGGCTCCTCTCCCCCACATTTTCATTCCCCTGTTTTCTGTAACATACTGATGATGTAGACAGACATTTTTGAAAGTTGATCTCCAAGGACGTATTCTCTTGATGCTGGGCTGTATTTCCTTAACTTACATGTTGCCTCGTGGACTTTTGCAGGCTTCTTCTCACATTGGTAATTCCACTCAGGCTGCTGTGAGGGATGCAATTGTTGGGAGACAACCTATGGATAAAAAAGCTCAATAGCATCTTAACAAGAGGATCCAACAAGAACCCAACCAGCCCCTTCTGATTTCTGCATTTCTGCTGTAGCCACAGGTACAGGTCCAGAGGAATGTAGCTTTGGGACCACCCAGGAAGAGCTGAAACATGGCACCAATAAAGGAATAGACCTTTCCTGTGGTTTCAAACTCTTAAACACACTTCCGTTTCTGTGGGAAGCGTTTCTTTTCCTTGCTTATGATAGAGATCCAAGCTTGCGTCTGTTTTTTATTACTCTCTGCTTTGTGCACTTTATGGGGGGAAGCTAAAGGAGAAAATGGAAATGCAGTTTTAAGTCCTTTATGCGCCACTTAGTGCCTTTTAAAACTGAATTCGTGCTTTTGCAGGCATGATAGGGAGGGACTGAGGAAGCCTCAGGAAAGTCTGTTTGGGGTGAAACTTGTCAGTTCTTTTATACCTTCCTCTATTGAGAAGGATTCCTTTTTAAAAAGTTTACAAAACTGGCAAAAGCTTTAGAGCTAAAGACTGAAATGATGCCATTACATAAAGTCTTATAATATTAGAGAATCCTGTCTGCCACACAGTGTGGAAAACTACTATCATGTTTAAATCTATTCACTGAAATGTAAGGTCTTTTACCTGACAGGCTGTCAGTTTTGTTGGAACATATTTTTTTCTTTTGCCTTTATTCCTAGACCTTCTTTCTAGAAAAGAGCAAACATGCCTTGAAAAGCCAGAGGCTCATAGTAAAAGGAATGAACTTGATAATTTAAGAAAAGAGCTAGAGTTTAAATGAACCATGTGACCTCTGATCAGTCACTTGAACTTGTGCCTTGGCCAGAT